TTTATTCCTAGGTATTTTATTATTTCTTTTGCAATGGTAAATGGGAGTGTTTCCTTAATTTCTCTTTCAGATTTTTCATCATTAGTGTATAGGAATGCAAGAATTTCTGTGCATTAATTTTGTATCCTGCTACTTTACCAAATTCATTGATTAGCTCTAGTAGTTTTCTGGTAGCATCTTTAGGATTCTCTATGTATAGTATCATGTCATCTGCAAGCAGTGACAGCTTTACTTCTTCTTTTCCAATTTGGATTCCTTCTGTTTCTTTTTCTTCTCTGATTGCTGTGGCTAAAGCTTCGAAAACAATGTTGAATGATAGTGGTGAGAATGGACAACCTTGTCTTGTTGCTGATCTTAGAGGAAATGGTTTCAGTTTTTCACCATTGAGAATAATGTTGGCTGTGGGTTTGTCATATATGGCATTTATTATGTTGAGGTAAGTCAAGTTCCCTCTTTGCCTAGTTTCTGGAGGATTTTTATCATAAATGGGTGTTGAAGTTTGTTGAAGGCTTTTTCTGTATCTATTGAGATGATCATATGGTTTTTATTCTTCAATTTTTAATGTGGTTTATCACACTGATTGATTTGCATATATTGAAGAATCCTTGCATTCCTGGGATAAACTGCACTTGATCATGGTGTATGATCCTTTTAATGTGCTGTTGGATTCTCTTTGCTAGTATTTTGTTGAGGATTTTTGTATCTATGTTCATCAGTGATATTGGCCTGTAGTTTTCTTGTTTGTGACATCTTTGTGTGGTTTTGGTATCAGGGTGATGGTGGCCTTGTAGAATGAGTTTGGGGTTTGTTCCTCCCTCTGCTATATTTTGGAAGAGTTTGAGAAGGATAGGTGTTAGCTCTTCTCTAAATGTTTGATAGAATTCGCCTGTGAAGCCACGTGGCTCTGGGCTTTTGTTTGTTGGAAGATTTTTAATCACAGTCTCAATTTCAGTCCTTGTGATTGGTGTCTATATTTTCTATTTTTTCCTGGTTCAATCTTGAATGTTGTGCTTTTCTATGAATTTTTCCATTTCTGCAGGTTGTCCATTTTATTGGCATAGAGTTTCTTGTAGTAATGTCTCATGATCCTTTGTATTTCTGCAGTGTCAGTTAATGCTTCTTGTTTTTCATTTCTCATTCTAGTGATTTGAGTCTTCTCCCTTTTTTTCTTGATGAGTCTGGCAAATGTTTTATCAATTTTGTTTATCTTCTCAAAGAAACAGCTTTTAGTTTTATTGATATTTGCTATTGTTTTCTTCTTTCCTTTTTCATTTATTTCTGATCTGATCTTTATGATTTCTTTCCTTGTGCTAACTTTTTTTTGTTCTTCTTTCTCTAATTGCTTTAGGTGTAAGTTTAGGTTGTTTATTTAAGATGCCTCATGTTGCTTAAGGTAGGACTGCATTGCAATAAACTTCCCTCTTAGAACTGCATTTGCTGCATCCCACAGGTTTTGGATCGACATGGTTTCATTGTCATTTGTTTTTAGGTATTTTTTTATTTCCTCTTTGATTTCTTCAGTGATCCCTTGGATATTAAGTAGTGTATTGTTTAGCTTCCATGTGTTTGTATTTTTTACCAATTTTTTCCTGTAATTGATATCTGGTCTCATAGTGTTGTGGTCAGAAAAGATACTTGATATGATTTCAATTTTCTTAAGTTTACCAAGGCTTGATTTGTGACCCAAGATATGGTCTATCCTGGAGAATGTTCCATGAGCACTTGAGAAGAAAGTGTATTCTGTTGTTTTTAGATGGAATGTCCTATAAATATCAATTAAGTCCATCTTGTTTAATGTGTCATTTAAAGCTTGTGTTTCCTTATTTATTTTCATTTGGGATGATCTGTCCATTGGTGAAAGTGGGGTGATAAAGTCCCCTACTATGACTGTGTTACTGTCATTTTCCCCTTTTATTGCTGTTAGCATTTGCCTTATGTATTGAGGTGCTCCTATTTGGGGTTCATAAATATTTACAATTGTTATATCTTCTTCTCCAATTGGTCCCTTGATCATTATTTAGTGTCCTTCTTTGTCTCTTGTAATAGTCTTTGTGTTAAAGTCTATTTTGTCTGATATGAGAATTGCTACTCCAGCTTTCTTTTGATTTCCATTTGCATGGAATATCTTTTTCCATCCCCTCACTTTTGGTCTGTATGTGTCCCTAGGTCTGAATTGGGTCTCGTGTAGACAGCCTATGTATGGATCTTGTTTTTGTATCCATTCAGCTAGTCTATGTCTTTTGGTGGGAGCATTTAATCTATTGACATTTAAGGTAATTATCGATATGTATGTTCCTATTACCATTTTCTTAATTGTTTTGAGTTTGTTATTGTAGGTCTTTTCCTTCTCTTGTGTTTCCTGCCTAGAGAAGTTCTTTTAGAATTTGTTGTAAAGCTGCTTTGGTGGTGCTGAATTCTCTTAGCCTTTGCTTGTCTATAAAGGTTTTAATTTCTCCATCAAATCTGAATGAGATCCTTGCTGGGTAGAGTAATCTTGGTTATAAGTTTTTCCCTTTCACCACTTTAAATATGTCTTGCCACTCCCTTTTGGTTTGCAGAGTTTCTGCTCTAAGATCAGCTGTTAACCTTATGGGGATTCTCTTGTATGTTATTTGTTGTTTTCCCTTGCTGCTTTTAATATTTTTTCTTTGTATTTAATTTTCAGTAGTTTGATTAATATGTGTCTTGACATGTTTCTCCTTGGATTTCTCCTGTATGGGACTCTCTGCACTTCCTGGACTTGATTGACTATTTCCTTTCCCATATTAGGGAAGTTTTCAACTATAATCTCTTCAAACATTTTCTCAGTATATTTCTTTTTCCCTTCTTCTTCTGGGACCCCTATAATTCGAATGTTGGTGTGTTCAATGTTGTCACAGTGGTGTCCAAAACTGTCCTCAATTCTTTTCATTCCCTTTTCTTTATTCTGCTCTACGGTAATTATTTCCACTATTTTATCTTCCTGGTCACTTATCCATTCTTCTGCCTCAGCTATTCTGCTATTGATTCTTTCTAGAGAATTTTTAACTTCATTTATTCAAATAATGTTCATCATTGTTTGTTTGCTCTGTAGTTCTTCTAAGTCCTTGTTAAACGTTTCTTGTTTTTTCTCCATTCTATTTCCAAGATTTTGGATCATCTTTACTATCACTACTCTGAATTCTTTTTCAGGTAGACTGCCTATTTCCTCTTCATTTGTTTGGTCTGGTGGGTTTTTACCTTGCTCCTTTATCTCCTGTGTGTTTCTCTGTCTTCTCATTTTGCTTAACTTACTGTGTTTGCAGTCTCCTTTTCACAGGCTGCAGTTTCATAGTTCCAGTTGTTTTTGGTGTCTGCCCCCAGTGGCTAAGGTTTGTTCAGTGGGTTGTGTAGGCTCCCTGGTTGAGGGGACTAGTGCCTGTCTTCTGGTGGATGAGGCTAGATTTTGTCTTTCTGGTGGGCAGCACCACGTCTGGCTGTGTGTTTCAGGGTGGTTGTGACCTTATGATTTTAGGCAGCCTCTCTCCTAAGGGGTGGGGTTGTGTTCCTGTCTTTCTCATTGTTTTGCATAGGGTGTCCAGCACTGTAGCTTGCTGGTTGTTGAGTGGAGCTAGGTCTTAGTGTTGAGATGGAGATCTCTGGGAGAGCTTTCGCCATTTGATATTACATGGAGCTGAGAGGTCTCTGGTGGACCAATGTCCTGAACTCAGCTCTCCCACCTCAGAGGCACAAGCCTGACACCCAGCTGGGGAACCAAGACCCTGTCAGCCACATGGCTTTTGGAAAGTCTGATGTCTTCTGCCAGCGTTCATTAGGTGTTCTGTAGGAGTTGTTCCACATGTAGATGTATTTCTGATGTAATTTTGGAGAGGAAGGTGATCTCCACATCTTAATCCTCCACCATCTTGAGGGTCTCCCCCCATCCCAGACCTATAAACCAGAATTTTTACTCTAACACAATCCCCTCTGACTCCTACACACCATAAAGTTTGAAAAATACTGGTAGAGTATGTTAGGAATCTCGAATCCCCAGCCCTCGTCCTTCTGCTGCTGTTGCTAATAAATTGTATAACCTTTGGCAAGTGACCTAACCTCCCTGGGCTGCAGTCTCTTCACCTGAATTATGCTCTTAAAGATTCTTTCCAGCCTCAGCTTCCACCTTCTTTATTATATTAATTCCCAGGGCCGTTCTCAACTCTGTGCAGGGAGAATGGCAATTTAGTGCATCATTCTGACTCAGATTCTCCTACTATAAAACTCAGGCTGCATTTCCCCTCCCTGGAGGTGTGTGGCAAAAGCTCTCTCATAACCTACTAGGGACAGCTCCAACCTCTGTGCCTGCTGCTGCTGTACAGATGCAGATCCTGTTGCCGTGATGCAAAGGCACTGCTGTAGTAGCAGGTTTCTGATGGACTCCAAGTAGGAGTGACTTTCAGCTGGACAGTCTCCAAGCCTGGAAGCAGAATGTGCTCCAACGACTTAACATTTAAAATAGGTCTATTGCATCCATCCTTTAGCTGCCCAGGAGAGTGAACACAGCAGGAGCCAGTTTGTGTCTGGTAGTGATTTAGTTATGAGTCACTCACTCCCTGATCAGTTATCTTGAGTCATTTCCACAGTAATCCATAAGCCGATGGCATCACAGTTTTTTATTATTGGCGTCAAGAGCACACCCGCACAAATAAAGCACCAGGAATGATTTTTATCCTCCAGAGCACTGAGGAATCATTCTCTGTCTATAGCAGTCACTTTGAAAGTTAAAAAGAACATGACTAACTTGTTCACTCCCTTTTAATTCCCTAAATACTTGAGAAGTAGGAGTGGGAGAGAAACTGGCCATGGGTGGGGAGTAGCAAAGAAACAGGAAGAAAGCCTGAAGTTGTAGCAGAGGAAGAAATGGATGGTATGATGTGTGCTGAATCAATTAATAAAACTGATAATCCAATATACTGCTCACCAATTAATCATTTTCATCACTTTCTGTCCAATGAAGGACGACAGAGGCAGGAAAATCTACATGCCCACTTTTCAGGGACTAAATGGACCTATGTCTGAGCTCTTTTCAAAATAACCTCACAGAAGACTTTGATTACTTGGGGTTCGAGAGTATATGACAGAAAAAAACAAAACTGAAAAGAAGTGGAGTCAAATAGCCATATTTTTAACCACCTTGATCCCTCACTTTCTCATCTGTAAAATAACAATATTAAAATATTCTTGTCTCATGGTTGTTGGGAGAGGTTCAATGAGACAGTGGATGTAAATATACATAGCACAACATTTGACACTTAGCATCCAATAAATATTAGTTCCCCCTTTCCCATCCCTTTTCCACTTTTATCACTTCCTCACCTTCAATCCAGTATTTATTACCCATGTTGCCTTGAGCAGTTAATCGTTCTAAGGTTCACTGTCTTTAACTATAAAATGGAAATGTAAATAAGATCAATTTTGCAGGCTTGCTGTTAGATTAAATAAGCTATCCATACAAAGCACATAGCATAGCACCCATAGTGAACATTCAATGGCTACTTATTATTATTATTGTTTGATCATTATTAATCTTTTTAAAGTAAAATAACTTATTCCTGATCAGCACAGTTAGAACTCTTCTGGAATCATAAAATACTAGGCCTGAAGAACCTTACTTCCTGGTAATCACGTATAGTGTCTCTCAACTCAGGATGGTGCCTCCCCCTAAGGGTGGGGGGCATTTGGAAACAGGGTGGGCATTTTTCCATTGTTATAGTGACTGAGAGTATTACTGGTATTTAGCACCTTGGAGCAGGAATGCAAAGCCTCCTACCATGTGTAGACATGCTCATACACAAAGAATTATCCCCTTTAGATGCCAATCACCCCACCACTAAGACACACAGAAGAATTTAACTTCTTCATGGGTGCTCAGAGAGATGGAGTATTTGACCAAAGTCCAAGAGTTAGTTAGCATTAGAGCTAGAACTAAATTTTGTATAGCGTGTTAACACTGCAAGAATTTTTGCCATCTTTTGCAATTGTCATCAACAGCATATACATCTCTATTCTTAGCCATGACAATTGTCTCTATAAAGTCAGTACAATTCCTAAGAAAAGAAAAGCCTTACAGTGTGCTTTCTTGCTTTGTCTCCAGGAGATGGAAGAAGAGAGAGAGAGAAATAGAGAGAGTGCATGAGCAAGAGGGAGAGTCGGGGAGGGAGGGAGAGGATGGAGGATGAGGGTTTCTTTTCTTTTACTGTTGAATAATAATATATTAGCTTGCTTCACTGATTCCATTATAGTAGAGGCTGGGGTAGTAACTCAGTCCCTGAGAACACAATATTAAAGAGACAAAGGTTTGATTTCAGTCCTCCTATGGGCTCATTAGTTTTACACAGAGCAAGTCCTCTTCTATAATCATAGCATGTCATGCAGGCATGTGGTGGCGAATGTCTTAAAAGGCAAGAAGCTGCCAAACACCTATAACCTCACTACCAAGAAATAGCTTAGCTACTTGTCCTGCTGAGTATGGTTCAACGTCAGCTCAATATTTTATTTTAATATTTATGGCTGTGATTAGATGGCCACTGTCTTGAAAGAGCATGGGTGAGGGGCTGGTGAGCACAGGGAGCTTCCAGGGGCTGAGTGAAGAGGTGTCTCTGATGTCCGTGAAGAACAGTCAGGGATCAGTGTCTTTCAAGGATGTAACTGTAGACTTTGGCAGGGAGGAGTGCCAACTGTTGGACCTTGCTCAGAAAAGTCTGTACAGGGATGTAATGCTGGAAAACGATTTCAATTTGATCTCAATGGTGTGTCAAGTTCCCAAACCAGAAGTCATTTTCAGCTTGGTGAAATATCAAGCCAGAGCTGTCTAGAATACATAGGAAGTACAGAATGGCTAACATACACCTCTGCAAAAAAGAAACATAGGCAGACCTTGAAGACAGCAGAGGAATAAGACGTGGAGGTCACCTTCCTCCCCACAAATACATCAAAAATACATCTACATGTGGAACAACTCCTACAGAACGCCTACTGAATGCTGGCAGAAGACCTCAGACTTCCCAAAAGGCAAGAAAATCCCCACATATCTGGGTAGGGCAAAAGAAAAAAGAAAACACAGAGATAAAAGAATAGGAACAGGACCTGAACTTCTGGGAGGGAGCTGTGAAGGAGGAAAAGTTTCCACACACTAGGAAGTCCCTTCACTGGTATGGATGGGGGTGGGAAGCTTTGGAGCCACAGAAGACAGCACAGCAACAGGGGTGCAGAGGGCAAAGCAGAGAGGTTCCCACACAGAGGATCAGTGCCAACTGGCACTCACCAGATTGAGATGGTTGTCTGCTCACCCACTGGGGCAGGTGAGGGCTGGGAGCTGAGGCTTGAGCTTCAGAGGTCAGACCCTAGGGAGTGGACTGGGGTTGGCTGCATGAAGACAGCCTGAAGGGGGCTAGTGCACTACAGCTAGCCAGGAGGGAGTCCGAGAAAAAGTCTGGACCTGATGGAATGTCAAGAGACCATTGTTTTGGGGTGTGTGAGGAGAGAGGCTTCCTGCTCCATGTGCCCACAGATGGCAGAGCACCGCCTAAGTGAGCTCCAGAGACAGGCATGACCAATGGCTAACATCTTGGACCCCAGAGGCAGGCAAAGACCTCTATTACTGCCGCCACTGCCACCAAGAATCCTGTGTGCAAGCACAGGTCACTACCCACACCCCTCCAGAAGCCTGTGCAGCCCGCCACTGCCAGGGTCCCATGATCTAGGGCCACCTTCCCTGGAAGAACACATGGTGCACCTCAGGCTGTTGCAACATCATGCCGGTCTCTGCCACTGCAGGCATGCCCCGCATTCCAATTATGACTACCATACTCCTCCCTCTAACTAGCCTGAGGGAGTAAGAGAGTCCTAATCAGCCACAGCTTTAACACCCTCCTCTCTGGGTGGGGAAGAGATGACTGAGAGCGGCCTACATGCAGAGGTGGGGCCAAAACCAAAGCTGAACCCCAGGAGCTGTGCAAACAAAGTAGAGAAAGGGAAATTTCTCTGTGCAGCCTCAAGAGCAGCAGATTAAATCCCCGCAATCAGCTTGATAAACCCTACATCTGTGGAGTACCTGAATAGACAACAAATGTCCCAAAATTGAGGCGATGGAATTTGGGAGCAACTGTAGCCTTGGGGTTTTCTTACTGCGTTTGATTCGTTTTTGGTTTTATGTTTATCTTAGCTTAGTTTTTAGTGCTTGTTTTCATTGGTGGGTTTGTTTACTGGTTTGGTTTCTCTCTTCCTTTTTTTTTTTCTCTTTTTGTGAGTGTGTGTGTGTGTATGTTTTTTTGTGTGATTTTGTCCATTTAGTTTTGCTTTTACCATTTGTTTTGGGGTTCTGTCTGTTCACTTTTTTTTTCTTCATTTTATTCCATGCCATGCAGTTGGCAGGGTTATGGTGCTCCAGCCGGGTGTTGGGCCTGAGCCTCCAAGTTGGGAGAGCTGATTCCAGGACACTGGGCTGCCAGAGACCTTCAGAGTCCTTCCAGCTCCACATAATATAAATTGGTGAGAGCTCTCTCAGAGATCTCCATCTCAACATTAAGACTGAGCTCCACCCAATGGCCAACAAGCTCCAGTGCTGGAAAACCCACACCAAACAACTAGTAAGAGAGGAACACAGCTCCATTCATTAGCACACAGGCTGCCTAAAGTCATATTAAGTTCAAAGACACCCCAAAACACACCAGCTGCGGCCCTGCCCACAAAAGAGACAAGATCCAGCCCCACCCAAAAGAAGACAGGAACCAGTCCCCCCCACCAGGAAACCTACACAACCCACTGAAACAACTTCACCCACTGGGGGCAGACAAGAGAAATAAGAGGAACTACGAACCTGCAGCCTGCAAAAAGGAGACTGCAAACACAGTGAGTTAAACAAAATGAAAAGACAGAGAAATATGCACCAGATGCAGAAGCAAGGTAAAAACCCACCAGGCCAAACAAATGAGGAAGAAATAGACAGTCTACCTGAAAAAGGATTCAGAGTAGTGATAGTAAAGATGATCCAAAATCTTGGAAATAGAATGGAGAAAATAGAATAAATGTTTAACAAGGACCTAGAAGAACTAAAGAGCAAACAAACAATGATGAACAACACAATAAATGAAGTTAAAAATACTCTAGAAGGAATCAATAAAAGAATTACTGAGGCAGAAGAATGGACAATGACCTGGAAGATAGAATACTGGAAATAACGGCTGCAGAGCAGATAAAGAGAAAAGAATGAAAAGAACTGACAACAGTCTCAGAGATTTCTGGGACAATATTAAATGTACCAACTTTTGAATTATAGGGGACCTAGAAGAAGAAGAGAAAAATAAAAAGTCTGAGAAAATATTTGAAGAGATTATACTTGAAAACTTCCCTAACATGGGAAAGGAAATAGTCAATCAAGTCCAGGAAGCACAGAGAGTCCATACAGGATAAATCCGAGGAGAAACATGCCAAAACACATATT